ATTATTGATGTTAAGTAGTCATATGCATCATGATTAAAAAATTGTTTAAAAAAACAATAATTATGTTTTTGGGATGTGTTTGTAGAAGCACATTATCCCTCTATGAGGATATTCTACAAAATCGAAGCAATTCACTATATTTAGAATGATATTCAATTCAACTTAATAAGATTGGCAAGTCCTATGGTCAACTTCGTCCCTTCATATATGATGACTTTTAGCTCTTCAGCTGTTCAGATTTTGATCATACGATGGGTTTCCTGTTGGTCATTGTCTGGATGGCCTGCAGATACCTTTAGTATTTGTATTTGTTTATCATCCTGGAAGATTCTAGCCATAATCAGTTGAAGCTAGAAAACTAGCTTTGTGTGTCTAAATGTTCAAAGTATCGCACCTTTTACAGTCAGTTTTCACCCTTCCCTCACTTGAACTTGTGCTGCTCGCTTATTGCATTTATAATGCTCCTCATAGACATGGAAGCTCATGCATACTTATTTTACCATGCAGATCAAGAAATACAGAAGAAGGAGATGAAATCGTCATATGATACTCAAGAAAAGATCTTAAAAATATCAAACGTGATTCATCAGACACTTTATTCTTCAGAGTTCTATTTGTTTCACTTATTGTTATTTAGTAAAGTTCATTGATCTGTTTTCCACTCAGGTTCTTGCGTATGTTGTTCTGATTATATGGTTTTGGCGGATGCCAGTGGCCACAATATCTGAGGAACTTGTGCAACCTTTTGGTAATGCATTCTTCCCCGGAATTTGTTAGGCTAGACGTACTCAACTTTGGTTCCCCTTACCAACTACTTTGTGTTGTGTTGACTTGATTTTACCTAATTGACATGCCATTAAATTTCTAATCACTCCCACAAGCTTTGAAGTTTGGTCAATGACAAGACCCATTGATTGTATTTTGGGTCCACCTCTTTTTCAGGTAAGATGTTATCTTGGAGATCTGGAGGTGCTCTGAAAGATCATGTTATGGTAATGCAGTTGAACTCCATTGTTTTTCAGTATTCTAATTAAGAAAACAGTTTCTAGTTTCTATTGTAAACCGCATTTAGAGATGAAATCCATAGGAGGCATCAAGTTTATCAGGATATGACTTATTTTGTTGTTGAGCTGTATTGGTAACTTCTTATTCACGAATCTCTTTAAGACCAGTAGGGGTCTCCATTCTACTCGTTCCCATAGTGCTCTTTATCATTAATGGGATTCGGAGACATGTACAATTCTGTGGTGCTTTCTTTTGCTTTCTAAAATACAGAGGAGGTTGGATACTTTTGCTTGCAACTGTGGAAAACCAGTCGTACATATATTTTGTTTGATAAGCTGATTCAAGGATTTCCATACTAAAAGATTATCTGGTTTCACTATATACATTTTTCTATAAGATCGTTGAATACATCTGTGAAAACAAACTTTACTATCATATGCCATCTTGAGGAGCATGTTCTCCTACAAATGCAAATGCAGTTTACACTTGGGTATGTTTATTACAGTGTTATAATAGATTATCGGGAGGTATATTTTAGCTTCTTTTTGTTCTTTAGTAAATGTTGGACACTTCACCTTCCAAACAAGCCATTGGGGTTTCTGATTGCTCACTAATGTCCATTGCAGGTTGGAATCATCCCATGGTTGATAGTATCTGCCAGGGTTAACAGGTTTATCTGCCGAAAAGTATTGAAGTAAAATGAGGACTTGGCGAAAGTAGCATAATTTGTTCTCTCCTCTTTGGTGTAAAACAAAACATTCAGACGACCATCCAATCCTTGTTAGCATATATCTTGCAACTAATTGTTTTGTTGACAAAGACTAATCTGCATGTACATGTACTTAAATTCTAGTTCTGAATATCAATTCTTAGGCTCGGTTTGGTATTGTTTTAAACATTTATAATAAAAAAAAGATTCTCAAGCTGAAAACACGTTCTTCCTCTACTAAGTATGTGTGTGTGTATATATACTAGGTGCAAGCAACGTGCAATGCACGTTTGCTTAGTTTATATTTAATATTTTTGTTTAATAATTAATTTGTTATTAATAAAGATGTAATTTTTTTTGGTTAATTAAGGG